ATCAAAGACATGCTTTTCAATATGCCCAGGTAGTTACTTCCAACACAGATTATAGTAATGCGTTTAATCAAAATTGAAAGTTTAGGGCTGAGAAAGTATTTTGATTAAAATCATTTTAGCCAGATTTGTAAAAAAAAAAAAAAAAAAAAAAAAAGATTAGCAGTTGTTTTTAAATAATACCACTTGAAATTAAACGTAGCCCTTTCCAACTGGGTGGCCTCCCAGATATGTGGGACTACAACTGTCATCTCTTTATCGGCACAGCATGGTGAACATTTTAGTCTCGCGCATCTGGAAGCTGGGTGGTTCAGGAAGGCTGAAACTAGCTTATATATGTTTTCAGGGTGTTTTTACTTGCCTTCAGCCAGATTAGTTTGAGAATGTCTTAAATAATCCCCATTAGTTCTTCAAGAGAGCTGAATAAGGTTATTCTAGTTAAAATGTTTATTTTAAAGCTTTCAGATAACAATGATATGTGTTACAATTAAAGCAGGCTTTAAGCCCAGTGCATTTTATCTTAGAAGAAATATGCTTTGTTCCAGCTGTGTCTGCTTCTCCGGCTTACAGTATTTGGATGGAACCCATATCTGTATAAAGACACAAGTGTGTGAAACACTCCCTGGGGCAAAAGGGAAAGCCTGTTCACATGACTTAATGAGAATACAGCAGATATTCTAGAAAAAGACAACACACTGATACAATCTAGAACAGAGGTGTCAAACTTGATTTCATTGAGGCCGGGTTTCAAAACCAATCGTTACCGGTTCGCTTGTTCACTCGCTCACATGCACGACGCTTCTGCGCATGTGCAGAAGCATCCGAGCGGGTGGGCAGAGCCCCCCGCTGCTGCCACTACTGGTTCACCCGATCCGGAATGAACCGGTAGCAATCCACCACTGGTGTGATCAGCTTGACATCACTCAAGTTGGCGGCGCCTGTGCTGGCCCGAGCGCTCTGCCAGCAAAAACAGGCTCCCAAGCTCTGTTTTCAGCTGGGACGACCTCCTGCAACCCGCTGCCAGGGAAAACAGAGATCGGGAGGGCTGCACCCTCATGAGCTCTGTTTTCAGCTGCAATGGCCTCCTGCAACCCTCTGCCAGCAAAAATGGAGCTCAGGAGGACTGCCGCCCGAACTCCATTTTTGCTGGCAGGGGCCCCACAGGTCGGTCCTTCGCTGTTTCCAGGACGGCCCTGTAGGCCAGATCTAAGCATCCCACATGCCGCATCCAGCCCTCAGGCCTTGAGTTTGACACCTCTGATCTAGAAGGAACTACAGTAATTCTCCTGGGACATATAGGAATTGCAGGTAGCCCTCAATTTACAAAAGATGATCACATGACCCCGGGACATTGCCACCGTCATAAATATGAACCCGTTGTCAAGCATCTGAATGTAAATCATGTGACCATAGGTATGCTGCCACGGTCATAAGTGTGAAAAAGTCACTTTTTTCAGTGCCGTTGTATTGAAAAAAGTGACAATTTTTCACACTTATGACTGTTGCAACATGCTCATAGTCATGTGATTTACATTTGGATGCTCGACAACGGGTTCATATTTATGATGGTTGCAGTGTCCTGGGATCACGTGACCATCTTTTGCGCCCTTCTGAGAAGCAAATTCTGGGCTCAAGTGTGGTTGTAAGTCGAGGACTAACTGTATAAAGCTTAAAGTGGCTGTTATGCATTGAATATATACAGTTGTGTTAAGCCCTGCTAAAGTGAAACTAAACTTTAGATGACCCTAACTGTTAACTCCAACTGTTTTGGAGGGAAACTTAGAACATTCATATTTGGGCGGGCTTTTTCAAGTACTATGATTGGTTAAGGCCCTGTGGGCCTAGAGTATAAATTACAGGCATTTGCCTGCTGTTCCTCAGTTCCAGTTTTGAGTCAATAAATGTTGTTGTAGCTATACTGGTCTGTTTCTTGCCTACTGAAGCCCACTACACAATAGTGGCCTTCAGTAAAGTCTCCTTAAGGAACTTCAACATTTTTTACAGTCTGCACCAATACCATAAATAGCTTAACCTCTATCATGAAAATAGCTTTCTCATGAATGGGGACAATGCAGGTAGTCCTTGACTTACCACCACAATTGGGATCATCAGAATTTCTGTTGGTAAACAAGGCGACAGTTAAGGGCGTTGCACCTGATTTTATGACTTTTGTCATGGTTGTTAAATGAATCACTGCAGCTGTTAAATAGTACAGTGGTCTAAGTTAAATAATAAATAAATAATAAATAAATAAATAAAATAAATAAATAAGTTAAATAGTACAGTGGTCTAAGGCACCCTGTTATTAAGCTGGTTATTAAGACCAGCTGCCTGCAATTACTGCAGGTTCGAATCTCGCCAAGGCTCAAGGTTGACTCAGCCTTCCATCCTTTCTAAGGTAGGTTAAATGAGGACCCAGTTTGTGGGGGCAATAAGCTGACTTTGTATAAATATACAAAAGTATGAAGGCTATTGCTGAGCACATTGTAAGCCGCCCTGAGTCTCTGGAGAAGGGCGGCATATAAATCAAATAAAAAAAAATAAAAAAAAAAATGAATCACACCATTAAGTGAATCGGTATTGACTTTGCTTATCAGAAGCTGGACGGAAAGTTTGAAAGTTTGAAAGTTTATTAGATTTCTATACCGCCCTTCTCGCGAAAGACTCAGGGCAGTGTACAGCCATATTAAAAACACATAGATTTATAAAATTTAAAACCAATTAAAATTGAATATATAAAATTGGCCCTCAATTTAAAAACACACATACACCTATTTAAAATTCATATTAGGCCAGTCCGGCTTGCTGGAACAGGAGGGTCTTAAGGGCGCGGCGAAAAGTACACAGGTCGGGGCTAAAACAAAGCTCTAGGGGCAGCTCATTCCAGAGGGCTGGTGCCCACACAGAGAAGGCTCTCCCCCTGGGTGTCGCCAGTCAGCATTGTTTGGCCGATGGCACCCTGAGGAGCCCCTCTCTGTGGGAGTGTATTATCCGGTGGGAGGTTGTTGATGGCAGAAGGCGGTCTCGTATATATCCCGGTCCTATGCCATGGAGCGCTTTAAAGGTGGTGACCAACACCTTGAATCGCACCCGGAAGACCACCGGGAGCCAGTGCAGCTCGTGCAGGAGCGGTGTTACGTGGGTGCGCCAAGGTCGCACATGATGATCACATTAACTCTAAGAGGGTGAAACAGTAGTAGATACATGCCGGTTGCCAAGCACCCAAATTTTGATGACGTGACCATGGGGACACTGTAACGGTCATAAGTGCAAGGACCAGCAATAAGTCATTTTTTTCAGCACTGTTGTAACTTCGAATGGACACTTGACAAATGGTTGTAAGTTGAGGACTACCTGCATATGGAACATGAAGTGTTCTTGGAGACCCGTATTCATATCACTGGAATTGAAGGATGTGGTATCTTCCAGCAATATCTACGACAAGTAGAGGTCCATGCGCTCATAGATGAATAGCATGGATCCCTCTGTTTATTTATTTATTAAATTTATATGCTGTTCATTTTCCTGGTAAGGCTCTTCTTCTTAGTGCTAATAGACCTTAGCGCTCCTCTGAGTGCTAATAACTTACTTGAGTGGTCATAGAACAATAAATTCCATTTATAAGAGTATAAACCGAAATTCACACGCAGAAAAAGAACAGGAAGCAATACGGATAAGAGTCTATATAAAGCCCGACTATAGTGAGATCATTACTGATGAGGACCCGGTTTGTGGGGGCAATAAGCTGACTTTGCATAAAATATACAAAAGTATGAAGGCTATTGCTTAACGCATTGTAAGCCGCCCTGAGTCTCCGGAGAAGGGCGGCATATAAAAATAAATAAAAATAAAAAAATAAAATAAAATTACTTCAGGGAACAAATATTGAAAGGTGGATAAAGCGATAAAGCCATAGACTTCTGTTGCCATGCACCTGCATAGCTTAGATCTCAGCTAGTTAAGATGGATCTTCCACACATTAATTGAGGCAATCTGTTGAGATTTGCCTATATATCCAGGTAACATCTCAAGAACGAGCTATTCGCTGTAATCCTTTGGAGAGAGAGAGAGAGAGAAAAGTGCTTCCTGTGGAGCTAATGACTTAACCTCTATTTTGGCTTTCTAAAAAGACCTTGTGAAGATAATCTTTTCGAAGAGGCTTTTAATTAAAGTTTTAATACCTCGAGTAAGCCTCCGTATGAGACCATTTCTCTAGCAAGCACAGAAGGCAGAAGTAAAGAACTTCCAAAATCTGAGACTGAAGCTGCAATCCAGTGTATGTGTAAATCAAAATACCTTTTCTTTTTTTGAGAGGGAGAGGGGAGTAGAAAAAAAGGCTCTGTGGGATTAGGCTATAAACTGCCCCATCTCTCTTGAAGCTGAGGGACTGCAAATAGAGAAGCTGGAAATAGAGAAGTTGTTTTGCCTGCTCTACAAGAATGTATTCATGACAGAGCCTGTTGTCACAAGATTTTTCAGCCTGATTGTTGCCCTCAAGACTAAATTAATCCCTTTAATTCTATTAGCTTTGGTGGGAGTTACGTAATGGGTCTTTTTATATCTTCCCCCTTCACTCTTAATAATGCACAGTGTGAAGCTGCTTTGTTAAAATGATTGAATATTTTGAGATTGGCTCATCCTTCTGGGTTTTTTGTGTGTTTTGTTTTCATGTTTGCAGAGAAAATGTCGCTTGGGCAATTAGCAGAAGTTGAGATTTGACTTTGGAGAGCTTGAAAAGTCAAGAACTCAACCAAAAGCTCTGGTGACACCCCTTATCCTTCAAAGTGGGCAAATTAGGTGCTAAGTAAAAATAGGAATGGGTGAAATTCATTTAGTTTCCATTTTGTATGCAAAACCGAACATGAACTGAAACTCACCTACTCTTCTAAATTTGTAGTTCTCTGAATTTAGCAGAGCAATTCCCCAGTAGAAACAGCAACAGGGTATGTTAAAGAACAGTTTGTACAAAAATGTGTGGTGTCATGAGCAAGTGTACAACTTACATTAAGTCTTTTGTTGCCCAAAATGAATGTGCAGTAGGCAGAATTGCAGACATGAATATATTTGGAGAAACGTGTCCCAACCCACAAACCCATTTTACTGTAAACCTTTAAAAAAAAAAAAAAGGAATCAAGCTGAGCGAGAATGAGACCATCAAAATTAATGTGATACTTAGCATTCATTGTATAATTTAGGCAACCTTATGTTAACGCTTTTGAAATTATATTTAAACTTCCCTTGGGTTTCAAGGTGCAATATATTTAAAATATATTATTAATATATTAACAATTTCTACCCTGTTAACAATTTCTATTCTGTTTCTCCAAAAATAAGACCCAACCGGAAAATAAGCCCTAGCATGGTTTGTCAGGATGCTCGTAATATAAGCCCTACCCCCAAAATAAGACCCAGTTAAGATTGTCAGCCAGATGGGTGCATTTAGTGCCATATTTCCCCAAAGTAAGACCTAACCAGAAAATAAGCCCTAATGCTTCTTTTGGAGCAAAAATTAATATAAGACCCGGTCTTATTTTTGGGGAAACACAGTAGTTTCTGTTGCATAAATACCACTGCATTCAGTTATCAGTTGTATTTTATAATGCTTTATCTGCAGTTATGATGTAATGAAACAATCTTAACTTAGAAAAATATAAGACACTAAGGGAAATCAGTAATGACCCAACAGAATGACTATTTCAGTAAGCAATAGTGGTTGAGTGGAGGTGTTTAAGCTCAGAAGTTATGTCAGGTTAGGCCAGATAAGTGCCTAGATAGGGAACTAATAAAAAATACCATATTGTAAACTAGCATAGAAAGGTGTTTTTTAAAAAAAATTCAGAAATTGGCAATGGCAAACCTGTTTTGTAACATTGCCTAGAAATCACACAGATGGATCCATGTAATTGCTAGAAGTCATGTTTGACACATAATTGTCTTTAAATTTTTGTGCAAGAGCTAATTAACTAATAATAAACCATCCAATTTTCATTTATTCATGGTAACCTTCATAATGTGATTTCCACCTTATGCCAATTTTTTTTAAAAAATAAATTCCTGGCTTTACATTTCCAATACCTAATTAGAAATGCTCAGCGTGGTATGAAAAGTAAAATTATTTTTTTTATTATTTCTTGATTCTGGAAGCTCCATAGAATTTTGATAGAGAGGATAACAACAGCATTCTCTAGCCTTGCCCCCATCTATTCTCTGCCTCCCAAGTCCCAGCTGATAGGGAGGAAATGGGGATTTTGCAGTACCCTTCCCCCGGAGTGAGGTGGGAATGGAGATTTTACAGGATTCATCCCTTGCCACACCCACCAAGCCATGCCCTGCCCACCAAGCCACACCCACAGAACCAGTAGTAAAAACTTTGAAACCCAACACGAGTCCCCAGTGATTAGTCTTGCACACCAGTGGTGGGTTTCAAAAGTTTTTACTACCGGTTTTGTGGGCGTGGCTTGGTGGGCATGGCAAGGGAAGGATACTGCAAAATCCCCATTTCCTCCCAATCAGTTGGGACTTGGGAGGCAGAGAATAGATGGGGGGTGGACCCAGTCAGAATTTTTACTACTGGTTCTCCAAACTACTCAAAATTTCCGCTACCGGTTCTCCAGAACTGGTCAGAATCTGCTGAAACCCACCTCTGTTATACACCCCACTTTGGAGACTCCTCCTTCAAGTAATTCTGGAAGAACCCTCGACAAAGCTCATGATGATTGATGAAATTTGCACCAATCAATTACTGTAGGCAAGTTTGGCAGAGAAGTCCTGGCCAACTCACAAGCATCAGCCGCAATCTTAAATTGAATTCCAATAAGATGGCTCTTTCCTTCATTCCCTTAGCAAAATGACTTCCCTAGATGGAAGCATGTAGACAGAGCTTGTGTGACACAGTTGCTACAGTGGTAGAAGATAACTCCACTTCATGATCAAACAACAGCAGCAGCTTCATTAAAATATCTCCCTCTCAGAATGTCTATCCACAGTGTTGGCAGCCTACCAATAGCATCCAGATTCAGGTGTCAAATATTTGCTAGTCCAGTCCATTGTTCTAACTAATCAACTACTTTCATAGCTCATCAGTTGGCAGTCAGCTATAATTAACAAGTGTTCAAGCAGGAGCTTGTTACCATGCTAAGCCCAGAGAGATAGAAAGGCTTTCTCCAGACCACCTTCCTGTCACTGGCCCAGTTGATGGAAAATGCACTCTGACAAATGCAAATAAGAACCAGATGCAGATGGCAGCAATACCAGCTGAAGGAAAGATAAGGCACTTCACAGGACCACCCTTTTCAGTTCCCAGTTCCTATAGAGCAGTTTGGAAGTGATTGAAAGTCACTCTTGAAACACTGAGAACATGAAGCGATCACTGTAAGTCAACCAGAGCTCAGCCATAGGGGAGGAGGAGGAAGATTTTTTTAAAAAAATCAGTGCCCTTTCTTTGAGCTTCTGCTAGTTCTGGAACAATAACAACCTCCCGTCTCCTTCTATATATATATATATATACCCTGTTTCCCCGAAAATAAGACCCAACCGGAAAATAAGTCCTAGCATGATTTTTCAGGATGCTTGTAATATAAACCCTACCCTCAAAATAAGCCCCAGTTAAGATTGTCAGCCAGATGGATACATTTACTACCCTATTTCCCCCAAAATAAGACCTAACCAGAAAATAATGTCTAATGTTTCTTTTGGAGCAAAAATTAATATAAGACCTGGTCTTATTTTCGGGGAAACATGGTATAAAAAAAGAAAATCACAGAATATGCTAGTCTCCTGTCTCATCCCATCCACGTTGCTATGAAAGAAACCATTTTGCCACAATTTTCTGTAGTACTCCAAAGACGACGATGCATTTGTAGCAGAGGTGGGTTTCAGCAGGTTCTGACCAGTTCTGGAGAACTGGTAGTGGAAATTTTGAGTAGTTCGGAGAACCGGTAGTAAAAATTCTGACTGGCCCCACCCTCATCTATTCTCTGTCTCCCGAGTCCCAGATGATCAGGAGGAAATGGGGATTTTGCAGTAACTTCCCCTGGATTGGGACGGGAATGGAGATTTTACATTATCCTTCCCCTGTTATGCCCACCAAGCCACACCCCACCAAGCCACACCCACCAAGCCATGCCATACCCACAGAACCTGTAGTAAAAAAATTTGAAACCCACCACTGATTTGTAGGATGGTGGCAGGTAGTCCTCATACCTGGAAGACTAGAAGAGACAAGTGTTCATGTCAATAGGAAATTGGATTACATGTTAGCCCCACTAACATGCAGTGGAGTTGTAGTTAGCTATGGGGAAAAACACACTTCTTTTAAATAAACCTCAGCCAAAAACAACCACTCTCAAAAACAGCAGATATCATGAAATCGTACAGATCTACACATGACTTAGAATCATCAGAAGGTCCTTGTAGAGGTGCCAAGAGCAAAGGATGATTTAATCATGTTTATTCTTGTCTGTGAGCCAGTAGAAAAGAAATTCAAAATAAACTGTGCTGCCCAGGCTGCTTCAGTAACGAGGACAGCAATTGATGCTGTTTTTGCTATTATAATACAGGAAGTATTATTTACTTAATACTTACAGTTTGTTTACTGTTAAGTAGTGTTAATACTTTATTTATTGTTAAGGAAAGAGAGCCAGTTTAGGGAAGTGTTTAAGTGGTTAGAAACTGGGAGTCTGTGAGATCTAGTCCTGCCTTAGGCAGAAAGCCAGCTGGGTGATCTTGGGCCAGTCACTTTCCCTCAGCCCTAGGAAAGAGGGAATGGCAAACTACTACTGTAAAAATAAATGTTGCCACAATAACTGCAGGGACTTGTCCAGGCAATCTCTGAGAATCAGACATGATTGAATAGGAGGGGAAAAAAATTGAGAAAAACCATGGCTTTGATCCCTCCCATCCAGTTACAAGAGAAACAGCTGCTGAATGCTTTCCTTACTATGGGATGGACAAGTTTGGAGAAGCCTTAGGTGAAGACTTTTATCAGATAGTCTAGCTACCTATTTTTGGTAACAGGTTGCAGGTACTGAGGCTTTCTCTACCTGTTGTCTAACACAGGGGTCTCCACCTTGATGACTTTAAGACTTGATGACTTTAAGCCAAGCAAAGCTGGCTGAGGAATTCTGGGAGTTGAAGTCCACAAGTCTTAAAGTCGTCAAGGTTGGAGACCCCTGGTCTAACAGATGGTTTCTAAGCACAGATTTAGCTCTCTTTTGAAAGGGGGCTAAACCCAGGTTCAAAAAATAGACCAGCTGACAGGTCAAAACTCCAGATTGAAGTAGAGCAGGGTGTCAAACTTGCAGCCCGGGTGCCAGATGCATCATGCGCTGGCCATCCCGCCCCCAGTTTAGCGAGTTTGACACCTCCGAAGTAGAGAAAGCAGTCAAGAACAAATGAAGTCCATTTACAACAATTGCTGCAAAGGAATGATGTTGTTGGCAGCATGTCACTTAATACATACAGTAGGCAAAATGGTACTGCTCCTATCAAAAGTAGGTAATAGCAGAAGCAGTAGAAAAAGTGGCAAAAGGGTATAAATAAAAAAAGAAGTCAGTAGGAGATCTGAAAATCATTTCAGAAAACACTGATCAGCCATTTCTTGGCCAGATGCCTCTACAGAAACCAGATGGCTAGTCTATCTTATAGCCTCAGCCAAGATGGCCGTCAAGGGGAAAGAAATGTGCCAGCAGCCACTTAAAGCAGCTATGGTAGATCTCAATCATTGATCACATCATCAATCGCATAATCTATATGCATACTAGGTAAAGGTAAAGGTTTCCCTTGCACATTGTGCTAGTCGTTCCCGACTCTAGGTGGTGATGTTCATTTCCGTTTCAAAGCCGAAGAGCCAGTGCTGTCCGAAGACGTCTCTATGGTCATGTGGCCGGCATGGTTAAACACCAAAGGCACACGGAACGCTGTTACCTTCCCACCAAAGGTGGCCCCTATTTTTCTACTTGGATTTTTTTACGTGCTTCCAAACTGCTAGGTTCGCAGAAGCTGGGACAAGTAACGGGAGCTCACCCCGTTATGCAGCACTAGGGATTCGAACCGCTGAACTGCCAACCTTTCGATCGACAAGCTCAGCGTCTTAGCCACTGCGCCACCGCATCCCTCATGTATGCATACTAGACTGCAGTAAAAATGATATCTGAAGATAACTACTTAAAAACTGAGACAGCTGAAGAAAGCTACCTCAGTTGTGAGCTTGAAATGAAATGAAGGCCATGCCATGAGGTCATAGTTACCAGGGTATGTTCATTCTGTCATGAGGAGGATATGAAAATGATCCTAAGATAATGATTGGCCTAAAATCCCCTCATGAGTTTCCATGGCTAAGGCTAGAACATAAATATGAAATATATTAATGGAACATACTATTTTTTAAAAGGAGTTTATTAAAGATCATCTCCCTCATTCAGATGTTCCGGCTTAATTTGGCTCTTTTTTTATTATTATGTTCAGCTCTCTATTGGGTAGGCTGAAGTATAGTGACATGAACAATAGTTGCAGGTGTAAAAAGACTGAGAATTAAAAGTTTGGATATACTAGAACACTGGAAGTTTTAAGAAGAGGTTGGATAATCATTTGTCTGAAGTAGTGTAGGGTTTCCTGCCTAAGCAGGCGGTTGGACTAGAAGACCTCCAGGGTCCCTTCCAACGCTGTTATTCTATTCTATTCTATTCTATTCTATTCTATTCTATTCTATTCTACTCTACTCTACTCTACTCTACTCTACTCTACTCTACTCTACTCTACTCTATTCTATTCTATTCTACTCTACTCTACTCTACTCTACTCTACTCTACTCTACTCTACTCTATTCTATTCTATTCTATTCTATTCTATTCTATTCTATTCTATACTTTTAATCAAGGGTATCGGTTACAATAGATGTCAAAAGAAAGTGAAAAGAGTGGAAAATTAAAAAGCATTGAAAAAAACACACACTATTTTTTAAATTGCATTGGTTGGCAATTATGCTGTTATAATAAAATATATATACTTTGAAGAAGTGTTTCCTATCTATTATACAGTTTTGTATGGTAGCCAATATCAATATTGTGATACAATACAATGGAAAACAGATGCTCGTACAGATGAGTGGCAACCTGGCGAATCACAATGAAAGATGGAACTCTGTGTCTCTTTCCTTCCTCTTCTTTATGTGGCCAAAAGCCATATTGGCTTGAAACTTGGGGAAACCTGCTCTAATACTTTAACATAACAAATTATCCTGTTTGGCTTAGGCTCAAAGAGGAAGAGGAAACAGTCGAACTGAAACTCTCCTAAACAGATTAAGCGAGGCAAAGTCTAGTCTTTGTTAGAGGCAGAAGGCCCCTGTATGAGCCTGGCACCGAGAATCTCTTAAGCTTAATGCAGGTTGGCAAAACAGTTTACTATTCCTCTTTGTAGATATTCTATTTTTAAGAATTCAGATTTCCCCTCTTCCTCTTTCCTTTTACATTTGGTTCATGACATGTTAGATGGTAAATCTGAAGGCACCGTTTTTTAATTGATTTGATTAGTATTTGGATGGGACACTAGCAGGAAAAATCAAGCTTGTGGATATTTTGGACTTTTTTTTCCTGAAAAAGAAATCCCAGAATAAGAAAATACAGGAAAGCTATGTGGATGTGTCTATATAAGTCAATAGGTATCCATTTTGACTGGAGGCAGATCTTAGGTTTTAAGCCACATAGAAACCATTCAAGATGAACGTCATAAAGGCTTTAAAATTAAAATAATTTATATGGACAAGATATTCCCTAATAATCAGCAAGATGGTGGGGAAACATCATGTTTCCTTCTATTTTTCCCAATCCATATATAATACCACTCTTTTTGGCCATCAGATTCCTAAGTTTCAGAAGGAAGAATAGAATAGAATAGAATAGAATAGAATAGAATAGAATAGAATAGAAGAGAATAGAATAGAATAGAATAGAATAATAGAGTTGGAAGGGACCTTGGAGGTCTTCTAGTCCAACCCCCTGCCCAGGCAGGAAACCCTATACCATTTCAGGCAAATGATTGTCCAATCTCTTCTTAAAAACTTCCAGTGTTGGAGCATCCACAACTTCTGGAGGCAAGTTGTTCCATTGATTAATTGTTCTAACTGTCAGGAAATTTCTCCTTAGTTCTAAGTTGCTTCTCTCTTTGATCAGTTTCTACCCATTGCTTCTTGTCCTGCCCTCAGGTGCTTTGAGGAATAGCTTGACTCCCTCTTCTTTGTGGCAGCCCCTGAGATATTGGAACACTGCTATCATGTCTCCCCTAGTCCTTCTTTTCATCAAACTAGACATATCCAGTTCTTTATATGTTTTAGCCTCCAGACCCGTAATCTTTATCTTTATTTGATTTATATACTGCCCTACTCCCGAAGGACTCAGGGCGGTGAACAGCCAAACAGTAAAATACATAAATACAAAATTTAAAAACAGGATAAAATCGAATTAAACAATTTGGCCCAGACAAATTAAAACACTCCAATCATTTAAAAAACAGATTAAAATTTGCATATTAAAAAGAAAAGAGGGGAAAAAGATTAGGCCAGGCCCGCCTGGTGGAATAAAAAGGTCTTCAAAGCGCGGCGGAAGGTGTGCAGATCCAGGATCCTCCGTATCTCCGGGGGGAGCTCATTCCACCCACCCGCTGCCCCTCAGGAAAATGGGGCGTACGGAGACAGCAATAGGCTATGGCAATCCTTGCAGCCTGAAACAGCTGATCTTCGGGAAGCCGATCCAACCGACAATCAGCTGCTTGTGCTAATCAGGCTCTGCTGAAGCTGAAATTGAAACGGGCTGTTTGCTGCAAGGAGTCAAATTGCTGGGAGGCAGGCAGATTTTTTTTTTCTTGTGCTAATCAGGCTGTGCTGAAAATAAAAATGAAACAGGCTGTTTGCTGCAAGGAGGCAAAATGCTAGGAGGCAGAGGCAGAGGCAGAGGCAGATTTATTTTTTCTTTTCCTCCCCAAAAATGGTAGGTGTGTCTTATAGTCTGGAGAGTCTTATACTCCGAAAAATACGGTATATTCTATAATATGTTGTTAGTATTTGATGCATTAAAACAATTAACTTGGGGAAAAAAAGTTAGCTGAAGAGAAAAAAAATGCTTTGGAGTAGGGGCCCCCAACCCCTGGGCCACGGCCGACTTCTGGGCCTTGAGCAATTTGGAACAAGGCTGCAGAAGTGTGGTGAGTGAGTGCAGGT